TATAGGGTTAAATTTAGCAAGGTTACAAACACACTCTGACGGCAAGCTTACTTCACTCCAAAACTATCCTGTCACCAAAACATTTTACATAAACATTACACTAGTTATTTACCCTATGGAGAGAAGGACTCGCACTGACTCTGCATGCACCTGCATCTGATGACTGGACTGGAACTGTAGCTGGAACACTGCCGGTCCTTTCTTAGGGGCAAGCTTTGTCGAAGGACCACGTAAAGTGCGGCCAAACGCTGCACATCTGCTCCAGTATCGCGAGGTGCCAACAATGCTAAAAGCATTGTCAGAGCCTTCAGGAAGCTGTGGTGTGAGGAGACCATGCCCAACTGTGCCTGGTTCCTCAGAATGTGCTGCTTGTTCACTGCTGCTCTGCTCCAACTCAGCGATTGCAGCCTCCGTCTCTGGAACTGCTTCAGACACGGCGAAAATAAGAACCACTCCTTTACCTGTGCCAAGCCACAGTTCATCCTTGGCCACCATCATACTTGTGATCCTAGAATCCAACTATGACAGGAGTGTTGTTATCCCTCTGTCTTCCGCCAACTCACTTACTTCATCCAAGTAAGGTACAGTGGAAGGGAGGACAGTAGTGTAGTCCACTTGGAGCAGTTTGACATTACACTTTAACCCCGTGTGACAGGATTTCAACCATGTGCGACTGATTTTAATCCCATGTGGAATGGTTTACCCCGTACGACTGAAATGATATTTTTAGTGAACTAATACTGAAAGAGCTCTGCCTTATGTCAAGTGGTTTAGTAGAATTAAAATATTGCCCTTATGTATGTTTATTGGGGAATCAAAGTGAACGAATATTAATGCAACTGGACTGTATATATAATATACCGACCAGACGACGTCCGGTCACTGGGGTCCGTACACTTTGCACCGCGACCGACCGGGGGGCGGGGGGGGGTCTTCCGCTTGCGCATGCGCGCGCGTGCAGGCGGGGCGCGCCAGCCTTGCCCCCCCTAGGCTATAGCTAGCTATAGCTCGGCGCCTCGCTCGCTCGATCGTGGATGTGGCGCACACCCAAGATGCTTGGGACAGACTTTTACGTATTCCTGCTGGCGATGATATTAGCTATTGGGCTGCTGTTCCTCATGGTGTGGCATGTAAGGGTAGCGGATTGTACATCCCGTGTAATTATTATTCATACAGCTGATTATGCTGGACGAACTGAAGAATGATTACAGAAATCCTGTAGACTTCTGTCAGAACCTGAACAGGGTATCTCGAACACTGCCACATACAACGATATAATAATGACAATTCTGCAGCTGGTTCTTCCAGAGTATGGGGTCCATCTGGGAGTGACACTCATGTTGCTGGTGTGTGGATTTTGGTTCACTTTTCTCTTCAATGTCCCACTGGTGGCTTATCACGTGTGGAGGTAGGTGACTGGCGTGTTCTTCTCCAAGAACCAAGTACTCCGGCTGTTCTTCTCACAGGTACACTCAGAGACCAGCCATGACTGGGCCAGGACTGTACGACCCCACTGAGGTCATGAACAGGTCCCAGCTGAACCTGCACACTCGGGAGGGTTTCATGAAGGTCGGCTTCTACGTTGTCTCTTTCTTGGTGTACCTCTACAAGTGAGTGTCAGTCTGGCTCTGTGGCACGGTTCTAGTGATTGCTTTCCCCGCCCAGTATGATGGTGGCACTGGTGATGGCACTGACTTAATATTGATAGTGGTGTTTGTTCTGTTTGGCGAACATTCTGACGATTATTTTAGTATATACAGCAAATTGCCCGTAACACCTGTAGAACCTAGTAAAATCACGTTTGGGCCAGATCACCTAAAGAAGTGAAGCTTCGTCCTCAGCCAGTCTTCGGTTAGGTCTTCTGCAGATCGCAACTCAAAAACCTGCAGCCACAATAACTCAGTCCTTCCGGACACACTGAGAGGGAATGGTATACTATTACCTTCGTAAAACCACAATCTTTGACAACTCCCAACTTGGATCCAGCGTACATCATCTGCATCTCAGGCTTGCAACCTACACACTCAGGGGATAAGGTGAAGGCTGAGAGGGGACATTCCTCTCTTACCTGGGGGACTGACAAAGATAAAGCAGAGTGGATATGATGTTCTTCCATCATCGTGTTTGTAGGCATAGCTGTAAGCAACATAACGTGGCTGGTGGGTAGGTAGCAGTCCTGCCACATCTTCTGGTGTCACATCCTGCACAGAGCTGAACCAGTGAAATACACAATTTGGGTATTACTCACCTCTGTTTCTTCATCGTCTACCGCAGGATCGGCAATGACAGTCATCTTTTCTGCGTCTATTTTCACTAAAAGAAGATATGCTAAATCGGAAGCCCGTGAAAGAGTGCGGACTCACTGACGACAGCCGCACTAGTGAGTTCTTTCCGGAAACGGAGTTTTTTAAGCTTCGCGGCCAGAGCCTCGTCAAGATCACACACTTTGAGGTTCTGTGCCTAGGTAACCACCAGCATAAGTCCTTCTCAGAGTAGCTAAATGGACTCACCATCCCGCGACAGCTCGCTGGAAGACTCTATTTAGAGCGCAATTATAGACGGGGTTTGAGGGAAGAGATGTTCTACGAGTTTCAGTTAGTCCGATCTGGCCAAATACCTCTGAAAGGGGTGAGTGGGCCGATCCATTTAAAACTAAGTCGTCGTGATCATATCCTATAATCAGCCCGTGACGGCTGCAGCTACCTGTGAATCCTGCGTGTGTGTCTGCGTCGGTAGCAGCCTCTGCGCGCTGTCGGAACGGCTGAATGTCTTCGCATTCGGTATTTATTTCCTTGCAATGCAACAATAGGCTATCAATAGCTCCCTTTGCAGATCAAGAGCTTGATGCAGTTGCTTGTTGGAGTTGGAGTGACACGGAATGTCTTGCAGCTGCAGCAGACAGGTGCATGGAGCTAGGCTCCTTCCTCGAATATCATGCACACAGTGATTCTGTAGGGGTGGCTGTGTCCATGTCCTGTCACCAAGGCTAAAGACTGTTACAATTAATTCTCTGGTATATATGTCTTTTGCACCAATGTTTGCCGTGTGTACTTGATGTGTATCTGCCAGGTGGTGACGAAACTGGCCCAGCCTTCACTACAACCTGTGTTCTCTGCACTGAAACCTGTATTGGGCAGTTGTGGCTCCCTGTGTCTGCTGGTCCTTACCGTTGCTGGTTCTCTCCACATCGTTCACTCCAGAGGTCTGTGTTAGCAACTGGTCTTCTGCCGGCTAATCCCTTTATTTTTCCGCAGACTGTGGGGGAGGGGAGGTATGTTTTGCCACTGTTCTCTAGTGTACACACAGTGTCTGTCTGGCTACAGGTTGTGTCAGTAGACGTCACTACAGACCATGGACTTGTTGCTGTATGCAGCATCTCCAACTTGTCACACATAATCACTTTGGTAATACTGTAGCTAAGGGCTGGAGCTGGCTGTTGTATGTATGTGTTTATTGGACAGAGACGTGAGACATGGCCACTGAGTGTATGGAGACTAGAGAAACAGCCATTTTCTCTCACAGTGTCACTGCAAGTGTCCGCTCTACTTTCAGAAAGTGAGAAGTGTTTTTGGTTGATTTGAGCCTCACTCCTCGCACATTTTGAAGGTTCTCCAGTAGTCCAAGTAGAAACAACTGGAGACGGCAGCTATATCGTTGTACTAACTGAGGAGGTAAAGAATTTGGTGTACGGTGATGAGTACGTGCAGTTACAGTGTGTGTGGTTGTCACTGAAGGGAGAGGTGAGTGTGTGGCTGGCAGAGGTGATGGTAGTGTTGGGAGTGTGGGGAGGGAGAAGGGGGCAACCTTTCATCTCTCAGTTTTCTCTCAGCTCTTATAAAGGCATGGAGCCGTGCCACCTTTGTGTGCTATGCCACGACTCCTCACCGGTAAGCAAAACACACCAGCAGAGGTTGATTGGGCAGAGGGATCCCCAGTCAAAGGACCTGCTGGTGGTGATGAGTGTACCAGGGCTGCAGTGGCTGTTCTCAACTGAAGTCTCTCCTGGCTCCGT